CTCTCTCTCTCTCTCTCTCTCTCTCTCTCTCCCTACCTACCTACCTACCTACCTACCTACCTACTCCTCTACCTCTAGCACAGCGCCGTGTCGCGCTGCTCCAGCAGCGTGTCACCCAAGAAGTGAGCTACTCGAACTGTGTGTCTGCCCTGGTCTGGCCCAGCTATAAGTAGCGCTGGGCCTCGCTGGTGTGCCTCTGGTCCTGGCCTGAAACAGCCTGCCTGGGTCCCTTCCGGATGACCAGGCCCTCCCTGTTGATGCAGCAGGGAGTGTCCACTACTGGACGAACACGAACCTGGCTTGAAAGGGCCTGACTGCAAACGAAGAAGGCCCAAAACGTGGCCTTTGTCCAAACAGACCAAAAGTCTGTTCGGACGAACTGCAAGTCCGAAACGACGCCTGAACAGACAAAAATAGGACAGCAAATAAATAAATAAATGAATGAATGCTGCCTCAAATCGAATCCTGCGTCCCTCAGGTCGGCCGTGGGCCTCCAGGGCGCATGTCTGAACGTCGTGCGACCTGAGGGCTCCCAGCAACCGTCGGGCCCCCGAAACGGCGCCCGTGTGCAGGCTCAGCATGTAACATCCCTGTTGAGTAGAAACTACTGTCAAGGATTGACATTCTTTCCCCGTTCTTTCAAACAAAGCGAAGAACAAAACTAAATAAATAGCGCGAAATCACACTCCATAACTTTGGGTAGTGCCATGCCTTTACTACTTCCTACTGCAATCTCGGGATAAAGAAAGATTGGGAGAGTACCTAGTCCAGGAATAATCTTGCTACTTATGTTACGATCCGGGCGGTCCAGTGGGTTACAAAACTGTGTCGATAAAGACCCGGGCAGGCCAGGCCGGACACGACCCGGGCAAGGTGCCGGGTAGTCCCCAGAGAGGAAAAACAGAAAAAAAAAAAAAAAGAAAAAAAAAAACGAAACAAAAAAAAAGGGATAATTTGCAAAATACCCCCAGAAGGGCCAGAAGTTGAAATATATGCCAAAATGCCCCTAAAAGATGTGGGTAGAGCGGAATGCCCCTTTGACAAAAAATATTTTGTGAAATACCCCTGGCGTCGGTTGGATCCCCATCTTTGCAATATACCCCTACCGGGTACCGTCCAACTTTGCCAAATGCCCCAGTACTTGCCAACTTCTCCTAGGCACTATTGCAAAAGGCCAAGGCCCAAAAGGGGAGGTCCAGATTGCAAAGTTGCACACCCGCCTGACAGGGGCACAACACAAAGATTTCGGCCCAAAAGGGCATTCCTGTAATGACCCGTCATCACACGGACTGTAACAGACAGCTGATTTCTGAGTTTGCTCGTGGAATGCATGCCGTACTAAGTCCCCTGCCTGTTGAGTGGGTTGTGTTGGGTCTGAGTGCGTGCCTGTATGTGGTTGGCGTGCCTGGGTGATGAATGCGTGCCTGACTGAGTGCTTGAGTGTGTGTGTGACCCCGTCGGGGCCATGGATGCTGGGCAGGCCCGGTAGGGCCGGTACTTACCTGTGGCGTGGCTT